AAACAGTTGAGCTTAGGTAATAAAATTTAGTTTCCCATTTAAGATATTCTAGGGGATGGCTCTGGGGGCTGGGGGATGAAAGGGGGGAGGTGAATTTTGCATAAAAACTCATCCCCCTTCAAATTATAGTTGACGATTTTTCCGATTTTTTTTTTACTCCGAGATAATAATAGGGGTGGGGTGGTTTTTTTTTCGTTTTTAGTTTTAAAATGAACACCCTGTATAGACCGTCCCCATTAAACTTGAGAGTGTATTCCTGGGATAATTTTAAGATATCAAGGCTTTATCAAGCAGTCCTATGAGATTTTGTTAGGAAGCGGGAGATGCGCAGTGTCTAATTTAATTAATAACTGATTTCTCAAATATTCAAGTACCTACCATCAAGACCAAATTGGACCACATTTTTTCACCCAAATAAATTTAATTTTTCGAGGTAAAATTGGCGAGAAGTCCCTGCTATTTTTCCCCGGTTCCGTTGAAATGACAGACTTGAAGCTAGTGTTTGATTTTAACTCATTAATCACATCAAGAGTAGCGACTTCAAACCAGGGTGAGGTGGTATGACGGGTTTCAGAAGAAGCAAATACTTTGTATTGAAAAACATAGAAATCTTCAGTGAAATTTTTCGAGCAAAAAAGTTAAAAATATACTTCCTACTTTTATCTCAAGTATTCAGGTATACGGTACCTGTCTTATCAAAATTACGATTCCAGAACTTGTATTATTCACACAATTGATAGGTGGTTATTTAGTCGAAACAAAAGCAATTATAACTTAGAACACAAATATGCCTTCGTTCGTATCGAGACTAGTAAAAAATAATCAGAGCCAACCTAAAGAGAACCATTGTTTATTGGTGTTATGGTTTGTTACTTTCATTTTTAACACGCTTATATTAGCTTCACTTGTATGTATGTATGTTTGTTTGTATGTATGTATGTATGTATGTATGTTTGTATGTATGTCTGGAAACGTCTGGAAAGAGCCTGGAAATTTCTGGAAAGGGTCGGAAAAATTCTGCCAAAGGTCCCAAAAGACCTGGGGATCATTTTCCAGAATCCGGATCAGTCTGTACAAGTCTGGATAAGGTCTGGATAAATCTGGATAGAGTCTGTAAAACTCTGGATAAGTCTGGATATTGTCTGGAAATCTCTGGAAACGTCTGGAAAAGACTTGGAAATTTCTGGAAAGGGTCGGAAAAATTCTGGAAAAGGTCCCAATAGACCTGGGGATCATTTTCTAGAATCAGGATCGGTCTGAAAAAGTCTGGATAACGTCTGGAAAACTCTGGAAAGCTCTGGATAAGTCTGGATAATGTCTGGAAAAGTCTGGAAACGTCTGGAAAAGGCCTGGAAACTTCTTGAAAGGGTCGGAAACATTCTGGAAAAGGTCCCAAAAGACCTGGGGATCATTTTCTAGAATTCGGAGCAGTCTGGATAAGGGCTGGATAAATCTGGATGAAGTCTGTAAAACTCTGGATAAGTCTGGATATTGTCGGGAAATCTCTTGAAACGTCTGGAAAAGGCCTGGAAACTTCTTGAAAGGGTCGGAAACATTCTGGAAAAGGTCCCAAAAGACCTGGGGATCATTTTCCAGAATCTGGATCAGTCTGTACAAGTCTGGATAAATCTGGATAAAATCTGGAAAACTCTGGAAAGCTTTGAATAAGTCTGGATAATGTCTGCAAAAGTCTGGAGATCTCTGGAACGAATTCACCGGTATCACACTCACACTCAGTGTGAGTGTGATACCGGTGCGGTTCGACGCACTAGCCGTTCATAAATGATTAATGGTGCGCGCACTCTGTGCCGTTCAGAAAATACTTCGGGCACACTCCAGGTGGCGCACCGGTCACACCATAATTTTTTGATTGTGTCTTTATGTCAACAATGTTAACCATTCCTCCCATAATCTCGATAATCCCACAAAATATAAACAAAACACAAATAAGAATTAAAGTTTTTTCTTCAAAATAAAAAAATGAACAACAAAATAACACATCGAACTAAAAAGTGAAAAATAAATATAGTTTAAAAAAACTAAAAAACACGCTTTTATAGTAAATTGAACTAAAAAGTGAAAAATAATTTTTAATATAAACAGAAAATATTAATGAACAAAAAATATTAGAATTATTGTGAAAAAAGCGTGGGGTGCTCAATGTACGAGAAATGTGGAAAAAAGCACCCCACGCTTTTTTCACAATAATTCTAATATTTTTTGTTCATTAATATTTTCTGTTTATATTAAAAATTATTTTTCACTTTTTAGTTCAATTTACTATAAAAGCGTGTTTTTTAGTTTTTTTAAACTATATTTATTACTAAAGAGAAACAAATGTTAAAGTAACTTTGCAAGGTATTGGTATTAGTAGAATAAAATGTTGATTGAACACATTCCTTATCCTCAGATTTGAAACTTTCATCAACTTAGAAACATACACTATTTCATTTGGAATTGTTTGATTTTTTTAATGGTTCACCTGCCTATGTCAAGATTTAGTCGAGTTTCATAAAATATTTTCTTTTACCAGGATTATCTTCCTTTTTCAATTTTTTTTTTTAAAGTGTTTTTCTGAATTTTAAGACTCGAAGGCTTTACTTAATTTATTTTTTCAAAAAAATCGGTGGCGCTAGTGGTCTATTCTGTACACTTTTGACCCACACCTTATTCACTGAGTAAGCTGAGCATATTAGGTCTGTTTCCACAGAAATCACAAACCAGTCAGAGCGAATTTCATTGGTTGAAAATAGTCAGGAAACTGGTTTTTGGCAAATTTGGACCAATCAAAAACGCTCTGACTGGTTTGTGATTTCTGTGGAAACAGACCAATGAGGAATTTGCTGATTTTTTTTTTATTCTCTTAATCGACTTTTCACATTGTAAAAAGTCACTTGCCACATAAATTTTAAATTTTCAACTAATAGTTTTTCTGTAAAAAAATATAGAAATTCAAAATAACTCTTCGCGCCAAAACGCACTCATAAATGAATGACGTCACAAGACGGTATCCGTCAAAGATACAGTGCCTGTCAAAACGAGTCTCTGTAGTCCCTCTCTCTTTTACCCATTGTGTTTTGTCATTGGTTTATGCGACTCTGTCGATCATTGTCATTTTCCATTCACTAAACAAAGATAGTGTTACGTTGACTTTGGAAATCAATTCTCTTCCAGTGAACTCACACCCTATACATTTATAAGAGAGAGAAAGATATAGTGTAGTAATGATAGTAACAAATATATACCTATGACTAAATAATAATTATAACAATAGCTAACTCATCGGTGAAGTCGCCGATTAGAATAAAAACGAGGGGTATTTTTGTTTATTTAATGGAAAATGACAATGACCGACATAGAATGCTGAATCCATCGGTGGAATTCGATGTAAGCACAAACGTCTGACGGCTCAAGTATCACGTTATCATAACCATACTTTTGTTTGTTTACCGTTCCATGACGTCATAACCAATTTGAGAGCGTTTTCGCGCCCTTTGTTATATTCAATATTTGAATAATTAATTATTTATTAGTGGTTCAGTATAAAGAGGATTTGAATATGGAAATATACTTCTAGAGTATTTTGCTTCACTTTAAATACATGCATCAAAATAAAATTTTATGCAACTTCTGAACTTCCTCATTATGGGCCTCCAGTTCAAGGATATTACACACTACACAGGATTGCCAATGGGAGCCTTTCCTCATGATAAGGCCTGTGTAGTTCAAAGTTCAAGTTTCAAGCCCCCAATGATGCCAAAGTACCAGGAATGACGTATTATCAGCGTGTCACTTTTCGCCTTGACGTAGAGACCGTAGAGTGTTTGCACCACAGGCTATGATCCCGCTGGCTTTTGCTTTATGCATGCATACTTGGTTTTAGTACATTAATTAGGATTTTAAAACAAACCTTTTTTTAGATCTCGTTTGCATCTCCCTCTTTGCCTTATGTTGTTATTATGTTAATCAAAATTAAATAATACTTTTCATCATGAACTTGTGTTCTAAACTACGACCGCTGGAGCAAACAGCTGACAACTGGAAGTATATTCAGGTATAAAGTTCAAAGTAGTCAAAGTCGAATAAAATGTTTAAAATGTTCAAATACTGAGACTGTCATGAAGTAATGAGTGCGGTAAAGTGAATTTTTTTACACGCCTCTAAAAGAAACATGATCTAAATCTAAATACAAGAAAAACTAATTAACTAAAACCCATAAAATAGGGTCCCACGAATATAAACTGAAGCGGTATAATAAAAAAAATAATTACTTCTTTTCAGTTCACAGTTCACAGAAACATAATTGAATAATATTCAATTATGCTTTTGGCGCGTAAAACCCATTAAAATATGTCGTGAAATTCTATATCCAGTATCCCAGTCGCCAATATTGATAAACCGAAGCAAAAATAAAACAGTTTCAAGGAATAAACATTAAAATTAAAACCGACCGAATGCCATATTTAACCTGCGAGAAATACGACACTCTGGAGCTCTGAGAACCTGGGAAGGGTCTTTTTTTTAAGTTTATGCTTCACGCTTCACAAGAAAAATTATTTAATTTATGGGTCTGTTGTCTGGATTTTTGAAAGGGGAACGCCCGAAACTAATGCGGCGGTCGGACCCTGTCGGACCTCATTTTTGTTCACTAAGCCAATATTTTGGTATAACCAAACGAGAATAATACCACTATATGAACATTTGTTTCTACATACAAAAGTAAATATGACGACTTCTCCTTCTGGTCGAAACCAAAATTATATGTAGAAAACAATAAAAAAATTAGAAAAACTAATTTCAACTTTGAGTCTCCCATATCTCGGGAAATAAAATACCTAGCTATTGAACTTTTTTTTACTCAATTATAGCCAAAAATAAACTCTTTCATATGGTACCTACCTAAAGTTATAATTATTATCAATAAAATATTTAAGAAACACATAGTTTTGTGAAAAAAATAAAGACATTTTCTTTTTTCTGTTTGATTCTTCTCGACCTACCTATCGCACTATCTCGCATTATGGTAAAACCTTTTCGAATTCGAAATTATTTTTGAATAAAAAACTGCTGAATTTCATTTCTCGGAAACACTTCGGAAATTTTTACACGCACTCATCAAAACAGTTTTGGGAACAAGAAATATCTGTCTTTTAATTTTAAGACACAACAAACAACAAAGATAAAGTGGGTATTAGGTATTTATTAAAACAATCTTATCAAAAATATCAAATTCACCATATCCGCTTTTTTTGCAAGCTTGTTTAGTTTAAATATTTTATAAATAAACTCAGTGTGTATGAGCATTTGTATAATAGGTAGGTAGGTATTAATATTTGCAGCAGCTATGACTTGTAATGTAGGTATTATTATGAGATATTTGGTAAAAATGTTTCAGATTTAAATAATAAAAACAAACATCTAGTTTACCTATGTTGTAATAGAAAATGTACTAATGTATTTTAGATCAATATATGCTTCTCTGATGGAATTAAAATATCTTCTTCCTCCTCCTCCTCTTCCAAATTTAGACTATTGGTACAATCTCATTGAACACTTTATTGCTCTCAAGTGTACACTTGGCCAATTATAAAACTGATACATGCGTTTTACTGTTGTGTTGGTTGTGTAAATCGACCTTTTTTTATCACCTCAAAAATGACAAAAAGAGTCAAGTCAGTGTCATCTTTAAGGGCGGGTATTATAAAACTGCTTTGACAGTTAACTTAAACTTAACTTTTTGAATTACATGTAATTCCAGAAGTTAACTTTAAGTTAACTCTCAAAGTTTTATAATACCCGCCCTAAATCAAACAAAATGCCGCCGCAAATACATTTGAAATTCGACATTGACAGAAACTGTCTGACCTACGTTTTTCGGAAGAAAGTTTTTGTTGTTGAGCCAGACTCACATTAGGCAAAGTTATCGCCTGTACCAGTTTTATGATTGGCCAAGTGTACAAAACAACAAGAGCTTGGTGGTAGCCTCGAAACAATTTATATGCGACGTTGCAATTTTTGGCATTTTCATGTTGGGACTGGAATCAGCGCCACGGCACGCCACCACAGTTTTTTATTATTATTATCCCTGCCTTTTGAGTTGACAGGGAATATAATAACCTTTTATAATTTGATTGTACTGCATATAATTGAATAAATTGTAAATTGAATAAAATTGAAACTACAAATTTTGTGTTTTGAAGGAGTATATAAATAAATATATAAATAATTTTTTTCTACGAGCAAGCACTGCCGTTTGCGGTTGGAGTCGAACTGGAAAGTCGTTTGTTCTCCAACACATATTTTTCTACAAGTGCGGGAAATACCATTTCTCGCAAGTGTTAGGAACACAATTTTTCCCAAGGGCCTGCGGAAAGATTACTCTTTAGTCTTTGTGCATGCCAAAACTTTTTTTTTCAGCACATTCGTAGGAAAAAAACGGATCATCTCTGCTTCAGGTGTCTAGAAAATGGCAGAGATTATCCTGTTTTTAATCCCTAGTAGGACTGCTTATTGAGCTGAAAGCTGAAAGTGTCTGCCAACTGCCATGTCAGCCGCAGACCTCAACTCTTGGAGTAAATCGACGAAAAATTCAAATAACGAGCACAACCTTAGTCGCAAGCCTTCCATCGAGGTCTGCGGGTGACGTCATCACTATTAGCTGTTGTGGTGACGTCACTCGCAGACCTTGTCTACTCAAGAATTCGTGAACGTACGCCTTATTAGGATGAGCAATTCACGATTCTTGGGTTTTGATAATAATTGTCGTATAAAAATGTCGAAAATTCCAACAAAATCCAAATCTTTCATTGCACAAACAAACTAGCATCTGCAAAAAACTTTTTTTCTGACCATTGAAAAATAAACAACTTTCGTCAAAAATCATTTTCTGCAACTTGAAAACATTACCTACATATTTTAAAAACTGCTGTTTTCGTCACTCGTTAAACAATAAACATTGTCCGCACCGACCGCACCTGTTAAGAAAATTTAACCCAAACAATATAAAATACTTTGACGTCAATTTGGTAACGCAGCACTTCTTGCCTTAGGGCGAATTCTCATGAGCGTAAGTTGACATTTCTGGCGTAATCACGTGACGATATGGTGTAATTTGATTGGTAAAATCTCCAACATGTCAAATATTTTTCCAATAAAACCCAATCATTTTATCACGTGATTACGCCAGAAATGTCAACTTACGCTCATGAGAATTCGCCCTTAGGGCGGGTATTATAAAACTACTTTGAGAGTTAACTTAAAGTTAACTTCTGGAATTACATGTAATTCAAAAAGTTAACTTCAAGTTAACTGTCAAAGCAGTTTTATAATACCCGCCCTTAACCTTTTAGGGCGGGTATTATAAAACTACTTTGAGAGTTAACTTAAAGTTAACTTCTGGAATTACATGTAATTCAAAAAGTTAACTTCAAGTTAACTGTCAAAGCAGTTTTATAATACCCGCCCTTAGAATTGTTTTGGGGCTCCCACCAAGCTCTTGTTACAAAACATACCCTCAGTTTTACACACTCATTTGGGAGTGTTTTTTTCAGTGTAAAACAAACTGATCAATCAATTTACTGATTTCTTCCGAAATGGGGGGAGAGTTTATGAGTATAAATAATTGTATTTTGGTATTAGTGCGTACCTTTGTGAATACAATTTAAAAGAATCTTCCGTTGGAGGGAGTTCTTTATAGCGGGAGAACGAGGGATCTTGTACGATGCGCTTTTAGAACCCTATAACACTCGCGAACCACCACCTAAAAACAATTGGATTTACATGTACATTGGCCTGGAGGATCCGATTCTAGAGTTTGCCAGTCAATCTGGAATTGCGAAACTGGGTCAAAACCCGCAGTTTCCAAAAAATCCTAAATTTTATGGATTTTTTTAAATTTTCACTTAACACCCTATCTCCCTTAGTTTCAGTCCGACTAAATTGAAATTTTTGGGAGAGCAAATTAACACCTTTGTTATTTATCATGACTGACATAACAGAAATGCGAGAAAAAAAAAAAAAAAAAATTACGAGTCACCATAATATATTTTTTTTAAGTTGGTGACACGAAAATTGTCAAAAATGCAGCCAGAAACACTCGATCTACAAAACTTTTTGGAGATAGATGAGATGTATATAAACTGCTCGCCAAAAAAAAACGGGACAAGCAATTTTTAGCACCATTTTTTTTAATTATCTTTTTTTTTTTGAATGTGGTTTTTGGTATTCGAAAGCCCATGCTGATAGCTCGTGGGAAAAAATATTTTTCCTACGGGATGAATTTCTCCAGTAATATACAGGGGGAATAATATACTGACTGATGCAAAAGTTCAAAGTTGGATGTCTGCCATATTGGCAATGTTTCTTTTTTCGGATTTCCCTATAGGCGATTAGTAAGTTATAGGTCTGTTCCAACACGTCAAAAACCGTCCCATGGTTGGGAAACCACTCTGTATACGAATTTCGGATTCTACCTTCAAATTTTAGGCTTTGCGCAGAATCGTGACGGTACATTGTACGGTTTCCTGCTGTGTTGGAACAAAGCTAATATCTCCAGACGTATTAGCCAGTTTTTTGATGTGCCCTTTGGCAGCAGATTCAATATTAAACCTAAACAACAAAGTTAGTAAAATTTGTAGGCATGCACAATGTTTAAAGGCTGTAGCTTGAAAACGGTTCTATCGGTTTCGAACAGTATTGCAGGATTCGAAAGCTTTTTTATGGAAGTTCCACGACACTTTTACAGTGGTGGAAAACGTTCCACAATATATGATAAAATGGATCTTCAGGAAGATCTATTGCAAATTGCAAAAACGAAAAAATCGTACTGAGATATAAACCCAAAGTATCACCTAATCAATTTTCAAAGAAAACAAAAGGCATACAGACCAATTTAAATAGGTTTAAGAAGAACAATAATTATCACAATTTGCCTAATTTGAGGTTTATGATTTTCTCGACCCCTGTATAATAGGAACAGGGCCATCTGCAGAAAAAGCAAGCGCGTCGTGGAGCCTCCAAAAAAAATAAGCTTTCGAAAACTGCAAAGCTGTTCGGAATCGATACAACATCGATCGAGTTAACCCAAACTAAACCAAAGGCCTGAATAAAATTTTGAATTTATAATAATTATTATAATAGTGAAAATCTTGTCAAATTATCTCACATAGAATAAGAAAGAGGAGAGTTTATCTGGTTTCTCAAAAAGTGAATATAGACAACTCGTCTGGAATTATGAGAACCAGGGTGAGATTTTAGCTTGAAATACCCATGTCGACCGTCGGCATCAAAACATTCTGCCGCCCAATCTAGACATATCCCGGAAATCTGACCAATCAAATTCGATGTGGCTATTTTGAGCGGCATAATGTTACCTACTACATGGGCTAGATCAGGGGTCAGAATGTCGGGACGGCCTGTTGGACTTGTCCGTTAGAAGTGCCGCATGTTTTTTTTATTTGTCGCTCATTGCTCTATTGAAATTTATGCGAAGACATTTTAATATTTATTCATCATGGAGATGGATGCGATAAAACTATCCACAACGTTTGTTTATTCGAATGTGAGTGAAAACACTTATCGTGCAAAAGGAAAAATAGTACCTACATAAATGGCTGTTTGCACCGACCAATTTATGGAAGGATTAACGATAAGAAGGTATTCCTTAAAGTGACATTTTCCCATGCAAATATGTCATTTTAACGTAGACTTATCGTTAAGGCTTCCTTAAAACAGTCGGTGCAAACGGCCATTAATGTAGGTACTATTTTTCCTTTTTTGATTTCAGGTACAGTCGTGAGCACAAAAAGTGGGACACCCGACTGACATGTATTGCCATTTTTCGCTATTTTGGGTAAATCAGTTTTCCCTCTACAATGGATTTTTTGTCAAATATGACAATTTCTGTCATTGCCGTAGGTATAGCTGGTAAGCCCGTTTCACAATAGGAAAAAACGGGTGTCCCCCTTATATCCAAAATGGAAATATTTCTCAATTCCTCCGTTTCAATCAAAAAACTAACAATTTAATCAATATATTCATGAAAAAAATCCATAGGGAAAACAAATAAAATCTAAATTTCTGAATTGCATAACACGTACACTTATGGCCGTTTGCACCGACCGTTTTAAGGGAGGCTTAACGATAAGTATACCTTAAAATGACAGTTTTACATG